TTAGGGACCGGCGGGATCACGGATTTATGCTCCTACCGTCATCCTAAAGCTCATTCATAAGTTTGACCGGAGGTGGTCATGGGTGCCGTCTGTTCCGCGGTGACCATATTTTAGGAAACTACAGCACATGGAAAAGGATAACAAAACAGGCTATCAAGCAAATTCCAGATCTAGCGATTATTCCAGGGTGAAAGTAAAGTGAGTTATACGAGCGGAACTGCGACGAAGTGGGCGACTGTGCGAGGAGCGACGTAAGATGCAGCAATTTATGATCATCCGCGTTGCATTCCGAGTGGCGAGCCTAACTCAGAGAACGCAGCGAAGACATAGAAGAGCCGGATTAATGAAGGAATTCATGAGTAGCTCGTTTTTATTCGTGCGAGGAGAGCTAATGGTAGAGGGGGAGAAGAATTTTACCGTCGATATGCAGTTCCGAATAGATCCTTCAGTAGAAGTCGACTCTTGGTTAAAACATGATGGTCGGGCGCAAGACTCGAGTCTCGAACGGTTGCGGAATTCAAAGCTTGTTGAATCGGCAGTGACACGTGCTCTCTGCCACGCGGACTCGTATTTGCTTGCTCAAGTTTGCAGCCACCTTTTAGGACAGCTGTCTCTTTCAACACGACTGTCTCAAGATACCTTCAAGCTTCTTAAGCACTTGCGGTACACCATGTGTGTCGCGAGCTTCTATCGGGTTGCTATCAGATATCGAGGCTTTATCTGCAGGTCTGACACTTTTGCGGCTTCCTCCGTCGTTGAATCTTCCTGGGGCACCCCCGAGACTCCATAGGACATCGTCGCTCTGGCCATAGTGCTTATCAGGCTACGTTAGGAATTTTAGCGACTGGAAGAGCTCAGGTCCTTGCCTGGGACATATCTCATGGACTGGAGATCTGAATTCGAATGGAGGAACAGCTCTACGAACGTCACCATCGTGATATACGCCAATTCAACCGTTCAAGTTGGCCACAAAGAACTCACCATCACCTGCCTCTGAAATATTTTAAACCTCTCATACGACCTCGGTTTCCTAAAATACCGCTGCTGAACGCATGGCGAACGGGCTGCTGATTAGGCAGATATTCGCTTCCGGCTGTTTCGAATGCATATGCTGGCCTGGTAACAAAGCATGCCGCTTCTGTGTACTGTGCATACTGCCTCAGATGATCAGGACCTATGCTTATATCTTGACCCCGTTTGAGGTTTCACCAGAACTACAAATGGGCCACACGATACAAGTACATTTCCCGGAACGGTACTCAACAATTCGCAGCCTAAGCCGCAGCGTCTCTGCCCAATGGCTTACACTTCCAGCTCGCGTGCTTCTAGCTTTCTCTTTCTTGTTGCGCTTTTTCTAGCCACCATTGTCAGCACCATCAATGCCACGCAGATCATGCGTCGACCGGATGGATACAAGAATGCGCCCAACAAAGTCGTTACCGATGCTGATCCCAAAGTCAACGTCGTTCATCGGCGAGGAGCGCCCTCTACGAAGGTGTCCATTGGCTACTTTGCCAACTGGGATATCTATGGAGCCAATTTCCGTGTGTGGTTTTGACAAAGATTTGTCTAATGTATCTGACATTACTGCTTCTCAGAGCCGACTGACATCGTACCCAACGTTTTGACTCGTAAGTTCCGGCTCTGATAACTTAGCGCGCCTCTAATGCCTTGAACTTCTTATCTAAACATTTGATGACCAGACATTCTATACGCCTTCGCAAACGTCGATCCATCTACAGGCATTATCAGTCTCTCAGACACTTATGCCGACACTCAGGTGAGATTCTATCTTAACTTCTACGCCCCAGGCTAATACACCGACGTCTATTCCGTGAACCGATTTAGAAACACTTCCCAACAGATTCGTGGAACGATGTCGGGAATAATCTATACGGATGCTTGAAACAACTTTACCTCCTCAAGCTGCAGCAACGTAACCTGAAGGTACTTCTGTCTATCGGGGGATGGACATACTCTCAGTCCGGTACGCCACCTGTTGCCTTGTGCAAAATGTCCAGGTCAGCTTACCGCTAGAATAGGAAACTTCGACTTCGTCACGTCGGCATCGTCGCGCGCGACTTTCGTGGCGAATGCTGTGCAGTTCATACAGAACTACGGTTTGGACGGCATGTGCGTCTTTATTCTTCCAGGTCTTGCGAACTAGTCACGATGCATTGTCAGTGATATCGACTACGAGTATCCTGCGAACACCGCGCAGGGGCAAGGCCTCGCCGACCTCATGACTGAGCTACGCGCCGCTTTCACGTCCCTAGCCGCGACGAATGGCGACAGCACCCCCTATGAACTCACCGCCGCCGTCTCTGCCGGTCCCGCGAATTACGCGTTCCTTGTCGTACCACAGATGGATGCCGCGCTGAGCTACTGGAATCTGATGGTTAGTCTATGTTGGACTTGAGGAGGCATAACCTAGCTGTTAACATGCATGCTGACCTCGTATTTTACAATTATAGGCATACGATTACGCGGGGTCGTGGCTCAACTATAGCGACAATCAGGCTAACCTGTACGGTGGTGCGCGGACGGGATTCAACACCGACTCAGCAGTCAAGTTCTACATTGCTTCAGGCGCGACTACCAGCAAGATTGTCATGGGGATGCCACTATATGGACATGCTTTTGAGGACACTGCGGGGCTCGGCCAGCCGTACAACGGCGTATGTCTGACATGATCTTTCTTTCTGTCAGGTCTGACGCCCGAGGCAGATTGGTCCGGGAACCATCCAAGCCGGAATATATGACTACAGTGTACTCCCTCGTGAGTAATCACTTTTTACAAAATCTGTTCAGATTCTTACGCAAGGAATGCGAGGGCAGTTGCCGGGGCGCAGGTCTTTGAGAATTTCACGGATGTGTCGAGTTACTCGTACGACCCAGTCAAGATGGAGCTTGTCTCGTATGACACACCAGATATCGTCACGCTGAAGGCGCAGTATATCAACTCGAAGGGTCTGGGTGGCGCCATGTTTTGGGAGGTGAGTGTCGTCGTGTCCCCACTTCCAATTGTATATTTGTTCACAGTAAATACCAGCTTTCGACTGATAAAGTCGGCGCGGAGTCCTTGGTTGGAACGTCAGCCGGTGTACTTGGCGCTCTTGACCAGACGCCGAACCACATCAAGTACGTCTGGTAATACGTGGATAATGATAACCCTCATTGACCTATTTGATAGTTACCCAGACAGTACATGGGACAACATCCGCAATAACATGGGACAGGGAAGCGCTGTTCCGACGTCCACTCCGGTAACATCTACCACTGCTCCTTCCAGCACTACCGTCCCAACGAGCACCGCGAAGCCCACCACAACTGCCACTCCCACCACCGTGAAACCCACAACTTCCAGCACTGCCGTCCCGACGAGTACCGCAGCATCGGGGGCCTGTGCGGGCATTGCCGCCTGGAACTCACAGGTGTGTATTCTCTAGGAATTGTCGTCGAAAGCTATTTACAGAACGCGATTCCAGATTGCGTACACCGGTGGCATGCAGGTCACTTACAGTGAGTAGTGATTATTTACACATGCAATCTTCAAATCCTGATGCGAGTGCTTGATTCTCTAGGTGGATTTGTATGGACTGCGCAGTGGTGGACGCAGGCAGACACCCCGGGCGGAGCTGGTGAGTATTCAAATATTCATGCCTGGGCGTTGCTGAACATGCAATATAGCTGGGGTCTGGACCAAAGGCGCATCGTGCTAATCTCATAAATAGATGCGACAGGCTATGTAAATGGAAGTGGCCGAAAGCTTATTTTCGCTATTACTACAAAGAAAAACAGCCTACGAGCAGGAGTAGATACACTTGTATATCAGCATCGCATTGTGAGGACGACTACTCCTGGAGTAACGCGCTCTGGCAAGATCCAACCTGGCATATGCTTTCAGAGTTGTAGCGATCGAAGTGATCTTATCGGGTACTCGGCTAGGGACTGGCTCAATGACAGATACATATAACTTGTCTAGCATTTTGATGTTCTTTCATAAGGTTGTGATTTTGCCTTGCGGCGGCCTTGAGGCTTGCTGGCAACGCGCGTTGATCCACTTCATCATGAACAGCATGGCCGCCCGCTTCCGCGTTGGGGCGTCAGTATTGTCGTTTGGATTCTTGCGGAAATTATTATCTTGTGGAAATTACTAGGACTATCATGTACGCCGGTTCCGTCTCATATCTCTGAAAAATAATGTGTCAATGGTTCTGGGAGTTGCTCACTCGGAAGACTGTTCACAGGTAAATTCATAGTGTTATGCCACGACGTACCGAAAAAAGCTAGGAATTACGATATATAAAGGGCACTTGCACAAATGAGAAGCCCAGGTTCCTACCTCAACTCTTGCTACTGGCAGTTAAGCCCAATCCTAACGTCAGTCCGCAACTGCTCCAGAAAAGCGTGTTTCCAACTCCAAATTCTTTCCTCAAACAACATCAAACTATCGATGGGCACCTTCAGAATTGCCGACGCGACCGGTTCTACCAACATCCAGTGCTTCGTGTCCAAGTACACGAACGGTGGCGGTTCAGATGATTGGTTCACCATCGGTGTTACGCCACAATCGTGGTCGCGCGGTCCGGGCTGGGAGCTCGTCGCGTTCAGAACGACCGCGGATTCTCAGCGCCGCGGATGGTATGTGCACATCCCGACGGAGGGAGCGTGCAACATTACCTTCTACGGATTCGACCGGTACATCGGGCTGCAGTACACTTAGGCGCCGGGCTGGACTCCTGGAGAAAATTTGATTTGTTAATTGCGTGCCACTAGGATCCAGAGGCGTAGTAGCTCAAGCGCAGTTATCATTGTAAATTTGTATCAATGACTTCAACAAGACACGCAAAAGCGTGCTGCTCACCGGCCGGCGGCCAGTCTGAGGCCCTGAGCGTCTCTCTGACTCTCTCAGCGTTATTCGGAATTCCGACTCATGAGTCATAAATGAGTGATACTTTTAAGAGACAAGACACAAAAATATTTCAACTTTACATCAATGCATTAAGAGGGAATCGAACCCCCGGCGGGTCGAGTTTATAGCTCAAACTCAGATGGCAACGACCCAGGTTACCACTACCCCATTAATGCTTGAAAGTATAAGCGCTTTGCATGTAAGAATATACGGTACTGCCAATGCATACGACTTCAAAGAGATAGCCGACAAACCATCTCTTGACCTCTACACTGATGGCAAGCAGCAGCGCTGTGACCCTCGACGACCTCGCACCGCCGCCCACCACCGTCAACGTCTCTCCCATCGTCGACGACCATCTTTTCTATCCCGACGCCATTCCCGATGCCGAACCCCCGACCCCCGACCAGCGTACGCTGCTGAAGGACCGCCTCTACGTCGGCAACCTCCACCCCTCTGTCGACGAGTACGTTGCGAAACTGCAGCTACCACCCACCTCACACGCTGACTTCCCCGTCAGGTACACGCTACTCCAGGTGTTCTCCAAGTTCGGCAAGGTCACCAAGCTTGACTGGCTCTTCCACAAGACCGGGCTGCTGAAGGGCCGCCCGCGCGGGTACGCCTTCGTCGAGTACGCCACCGCCGCCGTGAGTCCCCTTTGCCCCGCCGCGGCCTGTGCGCTCACGCCCCTCTCTGCCTGTGCTGCTGCTCCGACGCTGCTGCCACCACGCCAGCATCGCGCGCACGGACCACGGGCCACGGCGCCGCGCTGATACCAGACCCGCTGCTGACGGACGGATGCTGCAGGACGCGATGAACGCGCTGGCGACGGCGCACGGCCGGCCCCTGCGCGGGCGCAAGCTCGTCGTGACGTTCGCGCACCAGGCGCCGCTCGACCAGCACGGCGCCGCGCCGCGCGCGCGGAAGCAGGTTACGGACGCGGGGCGCCCGACGGCGCTCAGCATGCTCAAGACGGGGCGCGGGCATGAGGGGTGCGCCTCTTCGTTGTTGTGTTTTGGCCATGCGTTGATGTGAAATTGCACCCGCACAGGCGCACGACGGACAAGATCGCCGTGCTCGAGGCGAAGCTCCGACAGATGGCGGACGCAGCGCCTATGCCGGGCGAGCGGTCTGCCTCTTCCGCGGGCGCTACGCCGACGCCACCCGCGCACGACGACACCGGCGCGCCCGGACCCTCGAGCCTCCCCGTGCACCCGTCGCTCCCCGCGAAGCCCCCGCCGCAGATCGCAGGCGCACCGGCGCCTGTGGCGGAGCGCCCGCCTCCGCTGTTGCCGCCTCCGTTTCCGAGAGGCAGGCCACCTGCGGCGGGGGGTACGTCGATATTTCCCGCAACACAGGCGCAGGCGAAAGCTGCGGGGACGTTTGGGGGCGGTCTCGGGGCTACATTTGGGAGCGGAGGTGCGCACCGCCCGAAGCCGCGGCTTGCTGGTGTTCGTATAAAGAAGGAGAAGGGAAAGGGACCAGTGGAAAATGGAGCGGCATAGCTCACGTATGGTTGTTTGCAGGGGAGGCTTGCGATTGTGGATATATGCGCTTTTTTACAACATATGCCGCCCACACGGCGCGTCGCGGTCCATTTTCTTTCGACCTGCAACATTCCTGCAAGCCGTGATACGTAAGTCGTGCATTTGGGAGGAGAACTCTATCGCCGTGGGTGCTCGGGGCACTTTGTCTGCCGCTGAATCTCAAAAATAGTGCCTGACGCTCAGTGACGACGATAAGACGAAGTTAGAGCTAAATGAAGCAGGCTATCTCACAGTTCGCCCGCGTGGCATCCTGCTCCTCCCGGATGATGGGTCCTCAGCGCTCAGCGTCACCACCCCCAACTTTCGATGAGAAACCAAATACCGCCTCACGCTGCAGCTAAATATCGCGGAGATGCCGCCGAACTCCAAGCTCCCGTGGGTTTCGGATTCTCTGGGACGCGGCTGTGCTGGCGTGGACATTGCGAGGACATGAAGAGCCTTATTTCTAATTCCAATCAATCCCATAAATAGGTGCTTGTCAATGTCATGTTTTGTGATTATCGCAAGATCGACCATTCATCGAGAGTTGCTACTAAAACATCAGCGGTTTCGAGAGGACCCAAGAAGCTTTCCGCCGTTCGACCAATGGCATCGCGGGCGTAGGTCAATTTTCTCTACAATAGTTGACTTACAACTAATTTACTGCCGTCGACCAGCGTCCGCGAAAGACACATCCCAATGATCCCACCACTCGTACCCGTGCCAAAGGGACTAGCTAAGCCTACTGACAAGCTATGCGATTCCTGCGCCGCGCTGAAATTGACGCCGCAAGATTTCGTTGTGCGCCCGGGCACGGAGTATCTCGTGCGGTACAGCACAACAAACGTACAACAATTCGGGCTAGTCGAAGACGTGAAGGAAAAATCGCTGCACTGTCCACTGTGTCGCCTCGTCCTTCGTGCGCTTGGTCTGGGTGTTCCTGATGAAGAGGCGGGAGTGCCGCTTGAAGTGATTTTTCGCTGGTCCACAGATGGGCCGCCACCCTATCGCAACGAGCTTCACCAAATCGTCCATCGCCATGTCGTGCGTGAAATCAACATCGGGATTCAGAGACAGGGAGGCGGTGTCTGCGATTATCATTCGCGGCTCGATACAAGGTTTAGGTTAGGCATACTCGCTAACGACGCCCCAACACGAAGCAAATCGTTCTTCTCTCGTGTCATCAAAGACCAAATCGATTTCAACCTGGTTCGAAACTGGATAAGCATTTGCAATGAACGCCACAAGAACTGTGCAGGTGTCCACCGCGCGCTGGATCCAGTTAAATTCACGGACGTGGTGGACGAAATACGTTCTTTTCGAGTGATCGATGTTGTCGACAAATGCATCACCCTTGCTCCTCGTAGCTGTCAGTACGCTGCGCTGAGCTACGTCTGGGGCCAAGCCCAACCATTCTGGTCGTCCCGGAGCAACATCGTTCAGCTAGAGAAGCCTGGTGCACTCGTGCTACCTGAAAACCACGACAAAATACCGCTCACCATTCGCGATGCCATACTTGTGGTCAAAGAGCTCGGCATGCGGTATCTCTGGGTCGACAGTCTCTGCATCATCCAAGACGACGGAGACAGGATGCAGACGATAGAAAAGATACATGTGGTCTTTGGCGCATCAGCGCTGACGATCACGGCTGCTTCGGGAGTCAACGCCAACGCCGGTCTGCCAGGGGTGCATGCCGGGACCGACAGAAGTCAGCTAATTGTTGAAATTCAGCCTGGGTTCAGACTTGTGCTCAGGCCAACGAAACAAAACTACACCTCGGCGTCTATGTATTACACTCGGGGTTGGATGTGCGTACTTTTGCTGTTCCGGGCGCAAGGATTATAAATTGACTAGAGACGAGACTTCAGGTTTCAAGAACAGTCCCTTGCCAAGCGAAATCTCATCTTCATCGGTGGGCAGGTGTCGTACACCTGCACAATGTCAAACGAGTGCCGTGAAGACGAAGTCAGTGAAGATCGGCATGCCAATCCAAAAGCTTTGGAATGGTTCAATTCCAGCGGAGAGGAGGAAACCATTCGGGAAGCCGAACACATGATGTCTGAGTATTCGGACCGGTTGCTCACATACGAGCAGGATATCTACCACGCTTTCGACGCGACCATCACCGTATTTCAGAGGGTCCTGAATGCAAATTTGTGCCATGGGATTCCAGATGTGTTTGTTGACTGGTTCCTTCTCTGGGAACCACATGCTCTTCAGAAGCGCCGAAGCATAACGCCAAGTTGGTCCTGGTCAGGCTGGACCGGGAAATCCTTGCCCACAGTCTGCGAGAACTCTGCAACATGCAGCAGCAGCGCATTTCGCAGCGAGGAAAAAAGGTCCACATGGATTGTCTGGTATCAGCGCACCGCGCATGACTCCCATGAATGCGTTCGCATCAACTCAACCAGGACACCATCAGAGGACTCCGCGGCCACACAGCGAATACAAGCGTGCTTTACTTTCACCTGCAGCCAAACACTTCCGACACTGCGCACACTCATTGTCGGAAAAATCTCCGTTGGCATATCAGTACTTGCGACGCTGACGGTCTTATATGTACATATCAGCTTCCCCAGCTGAACGTATCATTACAGTATCAGGTCCTGTCACCTCACGCTAAGTGTCGATACGTACGACAAGTGCAAATAAGTTTCCGTGTGTGGACTGATCAGAACCTCACAAGGCCGTGTCRCTTCAAAGTAATCTCTAATATGTTTTATAATCCACTAAGATGTGCACATAGTCTATAAGCTATAARAACAAATACAGGTATTGGTATGGCAGCTCTCCTCATATATTTTACGGCTCCACAGTCCCGTAGCCTTGGTTTGATGCGTAACACTACCGTTGGTTGAAGTGGGGCGACTCCACAAACAATCCACAAACATCTGCACGACATATAAATGAAGGGACATCCGCTAAGTTACGCCCCAACTCACTCTATTGTTCACCACAATGCCACTATCACAAGTGGAACTAAGATTCGATTTTAGAGCTCCTGCCGTCAATAGATTCCTGGATTGACTCTTGACTACAG